AGATGAAACCAATAAAACAAAAATGAAGACAATGAAAACAATAATGAAGTAATGGTGGAATAACATGTTTATCCATCTACTGAAGAAAAATACGAGCTTAGAATGTCATTTTTTCCCGTAAAATCTTTCATAAATAGCTTACATTTCTTTTCTAACCTGTTTTCGTACTTATTTATGCCTTTTTTTGAAAGCCATATTATCATTGTCATGAAGTTCTTTATTCAGAGTTTATCAACGGCTTTTTCCAAATTTTGTTTTAAAAAGCTGTTTTCTGATATGCGTAAGCCAATATTGTTGATATTGAAAATGCTCCGCATGGTCTCAAGGCTCAGAAATTTCTTTTCTTCTTTAGAAAATATCGTTTCCTATGTCTTACAAATCTTTACACCACCTTGAAGATCAAACTTCTTCATGCACTTTTCATGTGTTATACCCTCAACTACTGATTATGCTTTCTTTTTCTAACGTATTGTTCACCTTCTGCTGTCATTGGGCGGCTTTCTCTTTGTTATGTATTCTGATTTCTAGAGATGGATAAAGCCTGTTTTACCTATCACATATTCTCCATGTTTAAAATACGTTTCCTTCTTTTACTTATTTATTTATTTATTTCTATGAATACTACTTATTTTCTTGAAAAATTTCTACAGATTTCCAGAACCTTCTTATTCTGTCTTGCTCATGCTTCATCTCATTTATCTCAACATTAAAGTGAAATGCCTTGGAAGTTATCCTGATCTCATCTTTATTGATTGGTGTCATCAAGACAGAGTCATGATCGTTCATCTCTTTCTATAATAGGTTTGATAATGAATAAGCTCATTGCTTTAAACATGTGCCCTTCTCAATCGAATTTTCGAAATCTCTACGTCATTTCGTTCCTTAATCTTTTAAACATCATGAAGGATCTTTTTCATCTTCTTATCCCTTCGCTGGATTTCGAAAAAAAATTCTTGTGAGGAAAAGTTTTTGTATTTCATGGTAAACATTCAAGTTAATCTTTACGAAGCATTTTTTTAGCAGATTTTTTTCCGCTTGCTATAGTGAATATTTTGAACAGCTGTGATACTTCTTTTACACTTCTTTAATTATTTTGATTATATTCATTCTTTATTTTGGCATAAAAGCATCTGAAATACTTTCTATGAGAAAATATTTTTGAGTGAACAAAAGCTAATAGCATAAGTGACACGCCTTGTGAGGAACACAATGGATTTATAGGGAAAGATTGGCTGTCAGAGAAATTCTCATCTTATTATCTTATTTTATTTTATTTTATTTTAA